GAAATTCCTAAGCCAATTTTGTTCCTCTCTAGCTACACTTTGGAGACATTTTGCTGAAAGAGGGTGAAATGGCATCACTCAGGTTGAGGATTCTGAACCAGCGGTGATTCGGATGATCTGAGTTTTCTCTCTCTCTGACAGGCTGATATTGGACATTGAAGCTTGGCCTGATGATGAAAACAAACACAAATTTGAGAAACCCAAACCCACCAACCAATGTGGGCCAGTGCTCCGATGGTCTTTCCATTTGACACTGTTAAGGTTCCAGCCATGATTTCACTGAGGAATAAAAGCCAATGATATACTCTCCGTGGTCGTTCTCTCTCTTATTGGAGTTCCGTTACTTATCCTAGTGTGGAATGGCCTTTTCCTCACCACCGGGTGTTTCTAATATTTGTACAAGATCTGGCACGACTTTTAATTTCACCCTCGATTTCCCTAGAAATGAGCACTCAGCCCAGTATTGATTGTGAAAAGAAAGTAAACTTTTTAATGAACTATTTGCTAAAATGATGGTCACTAGCAAAGCTGCAAGTGCCTGTTCAGTAAAACCTCTCACCAGAAGTCTCAAGTTAGCTTTATTTGTTATATTAAGGCTCATTACCCGATTTCGCACATATATTCCACACTCTGTTCTACCACATTCCATGTGTGGCTGCACTCCGTTTCCTCTCCCGCACTAGCGTCTGTGACCTCAGCAGAGACCTTTGGGAAGCTGAGAAAGATGCCCTCCTCAGCCAACATGGCTCACCCAGGTCAGAACAAAAAGAGGACATTCTGGCAGTTTTGAATGACGGCCCATGTACGCGTTTTCCTCCTCAGTCATAATACCCAATCTTCCCCGTAGCGAGCAAAACATATCGCACCAATGAATCAACCGTATTTATGTATCTACTCTGCATAAGGCACTGTGCATATCTTATGAACATTCTACCTTTTATGAGGTTTCATCATCAAGATTAAGTTTCTCTAAAATTCAAGATATTCATGCCCTGGCTGGTGTGGCTCAGTTGGTTGAAGCATTGTCCTGCACCAAAACGTGACAGTTCAATTCCCAGGTTGCAGGTGCAATGCCTGGTCAGGACAGGTGTGGGAGGCAACAGATTTGTGTTTCTTTCTCACACTGATTTTCTCTCTCTCCCCTCCTCTCTACAAAAATATAAAAGGTAAATATAATATGCATTTAAAAACTGAAAAAGCAGGTTCACAAATAAATGCAAGAATGGCAAGAAAAGATACATTAAGTCAAAGAAGGATTCTGTAAACTACATTAAGCTAAGAAAATAATGGGGGTGTGTGTGTGTGTCTCTTTCAGCGGTTCTCAGTTACACATCTTAAACAGATGGAGAGCTTGTGAATAGAGCTGAGTCCTACCGTCTGTCCCCCCTCCCATTTCTGCTTCATTAGATGTGGAACGGGGCCTGAGAATCTGCATTCAAACAAGTTCCCAGGTAACACTGACCTTGCTGCTCTGGGGCAATACTTTGAAAACAAGTGATCTAAACCATCCACCTTTCTTGATCAAAAAGGATGGTAGGATTTTAAATGGTTGGTGTATAAAATCACACTATGGAAACAATAACCACTACATTTTAATTGAAATGTGTACTTTGTAAACTAAAAACCACAAGAAAACATATTAACTTTATATGACTGGGAATTATCTTACACCACATGCCATTGAACCTGAACATAGCACAGCATTAATATTGTGTGCTAAACTGATCTTTAGGACACTGATGATTTTTTTTTGTACAATTTTTATCAGAAGGCAAGGTTATTGTAAATATTGAAAAATCATAATTACTACAAATAAGGTTTGGAGCAGACCCTGGATAACAGTCAAATGTGCTAAACAGACTATATTCCCTGTACTGTTCTCCCTCCGGAATGCACTGCAGTCACACTCAGGGACAGGCATACTGGAGAACGTCTTTCCCCTCTTCATTGTAGTCAGAACATTTACCCTAACCTCTTAAAAAACACTTTTATTGATTTCAGAGTGGAAGGGAGAGGGAGAGACAGAAACTTCAGTGACGAGAGAGAATTATTGGTCAGCCACCTCCAGCACACACCCAACTGGGGACGGAGCCCGCAACCCAGGCCTGTGCCCTGATCAGTAATCCAACTGGGACCTCCTGGTTCACAGGTCTACACTCAAGCACTGAGCTGCACCAGCCAGACTTAATGAATGTTTCCGTGTACAAACAGCATTGCTAACTACGGGCTCAGCTGTCCAGGTTCTCTAAGACTGACTCGTCCTGCATAACTGAGACTCTGTACCCACTGAATAGCTATTCCTGCCCCCTCCCACAAGGAAGTCTGAGCTGGGATTCTGCCTTACGTATCTCACACACCCCATAAGGCCTGGGCCAACCCAGACTTTGAATAAACACAACATCATTCGTGGGAGAAGTAAACAACCACCATACCCTGACTGTTCTCCCACGATGATGATAATGAAGAGGAGGAGGAGGAGGAGGAGGAGGAGGAGGAGGAGGAGGAGGAGGAGGAGGAGGAGGAGACTGGTCATCAGAAACAGTGACTCACTAAAGAAGAGATTGCAAACTGGTGGCCTCTGACTTTTTGTTAAAAAACTAATTAGTTTGCAACATTTGGAAATCATATTTCACAGAAATAGCCGTATTTTCAGTTTCTCCAGAAAGATCACGTTTAGCAGCCCTGGCCGTGCGTTCCCCGCCATATGGCCTCGATGAGCCGGATCTGCACAGCTGCTGCCCACTTTTATGGGGGAGAACAGGCTCCCCAGATTGCCACTGTCCCCAGGAATCCCTCCTCTTCCGCACCTGGCCCGCCTCCTTCTCCGCCGTGCCTGCCTGGCTCCCTAAACATTTGAGTGTGCAATCCCTGCTCTAAGGTTGTAGCACAGATAAGGTAATTTTGCTGGGAACTGCCAATAACCTGTGGTCTGTGTCACACACTTTACGTCCCTCACCAGCGCATAGTAGACTATAACGCCATAACAGCGTCAATCTTCCTCTGTTCTAATTTATTGAATAAATAAATCCTTTGCAAACTTTGGTACTGGAATGAAAACAAACGGGACCATAGCTGCCATGTGTCCACCACACCCCGTAATTGAAAAGCTCTGCTAGAGAAATTTGTTTCCAATTCTAACTTTGGAATATGCCTAACGAAGGATGAAGCCACTGAAACTTTCATTATCGAGTTGTAGGCTGGGAGAAGACAGAATTGAGTGCTTTTAATTCATGTCATGATAGGCATAGACTCTGTCCTAAGAGTGTGAAAGTATGACACCTGTGCCATCGTGGAGCATCATTTGGGGAGGAAATGCAGAATGCTGGGCGTCCAGGCACAGGCCCACTACTATGAAAAGTGCACAGAAACATTTCTGGGACAGGTCGAGCGTTAAAACAAAACCTATTGGAAATGGTCATTCTCAAAGAACTCCTCTCGACTTCCAAACTATTCCCGATACCTTCGTCTCAGTAGCCTGAGGAGAAATAAACGTGTGCCAGGGGTAGGTAGGAAAGGAACAATGTGGAGACATACTGAGGAAGTGAAGGGTAAATTGCATGGACCCTCCACATTTGAGAGCAATCAGAGACCAGGAAGGTGTCCAGCCTGCAGAGACAGCCCTTGTTCCAAACGCATATGATTTATGTCCAAGGCTATCACATATGGAGCACACCTCATAATGCAGAACGCAACCGCCTAATACACTGCGCACCCACCACACACACACACCCCCACACCCTAGTCCTCGTCCTTAGGTTCCCGTTTCCCTCGGATAGGCAGGTGTATATCTAGACGCTTATCAAGAAAACACTGGGCATAGGCCTTCGCCTATATATAAAACTCCAAATGTTACCTTCTGCCAAACTTGAGCTCTATCCCTAGGAGGGGACATTGTATACACAGAGAGCATTCACACTTTTGATGACTGTCCACTCTAAGGTACTCGGACCCTCGGCTCTGAATTTCCAGAACTATCTGTATAGTGAATGGGTGTGTGGGTCTTACACAATACTTGCTGCAATGCGTCCAACAGGAGGCATCCTATTTTTAAAGGACAAGGAGGACTGGTGTATAAATGCACACAGCACACTGTTTTATCTGCAATAAGAAATTAGACAACGGGATTAAGATTAAACACTTTAATCAACTATAATAAATCAATACATATTAAACAAAAAGTCTGATCCATGCATCAGATTACATAAATTATACAACTGTCACATTATGCAAGGCTGACATACTTTTGAGTGTGTACCGGTAAAAATGTATACAAGTGACTAAGAGCATTTTACTTAACAAGTGTAATACTCTTCTGTGATAAATAATGCTTGTGTCTTTCAAATACCTGCTAAATATACACATTTCTCGATCTGCAGCATTCTTTTGTACCTCAAAATACAAACCATCTGGAAGCTTCAAAGATTTATAGGCCCAATGTATCATTTGTTACAGACTTCAATTCCATGGTAAGAGGGAATTTTTTTTTTTTTTTTGACAGAGAAAAGAAATGAAATAAAATGCCAACTCGAGTTTAATGCTTGAAGAGCTTCTCCACTCCTTATTAAATACATCGGGAGACCCTCCAGATGCAGCTGAATTAGTTAAGGTGCCATCTACTGCATATTAAATACTTCCAATCGCCGCATCTGGATTATGAGTTATAAATCTGTGAAAATGGGGGCTTTCCAATGTGCGCTGACAGACCCTCGCATCTACCGTCACGAACCAGCAGCGCTGTGATCCTTTACCTCTTACTTCAAAGCGACCAAGTGAGCGAGCATGCTTCATCCTTCACTTACACACGCACAGTGACACCTAGCATATCTACAAGACATATGAGCACACGGACATCAAAAAGTTCCAGCCTCGCTCTCGGGCCCGAGGCCGGAGCTTTGCCTGAAAAGCTGGAGGAAGAGAAAAGCTCCAGTGTAACAAGGACGAGATATATTAAAGCCGGTTCTTTTGTGTTTTCTTAGATTCTCCTTGAAGAGTAAGCATCCTCAAGGGGGTGGTGCGGGGGAGTGGGGGGGATGCGATGAGGGCAGAGGAGCTGGTGAAGGCAGGAAAGCAGAGCTGTCACTAATGAGCTGGGTTTTACTTAGGTTTCCAGTCCTGAAACCCTTTTCAATACAAGGCAACATTTTCACAGCTGGAAAATTACAACTAAAGCTTCGCTTCCTGCCAAAAGCAATAGATGTAGTTATGTGTAATCTATGGGCAGCACTACATGCACGGGAGAAGGGCAAAACTAGGCTCAAGGCAGAACAGAGCAGCCAAAAGCAATACTGAGCCTCTCTCATGAATGGGTGACACGTCGCTTATATACAATTCTAAGATATGGCACCGCTAGCCAATGAGTGAAACGAAGGCCTAAGTGGAAGGACAGTATGTTCAGCATCTTCAGAGCTGAATTTTAAAACTGTGAAACTGGTTATAAAATAAGGCTACTTTAAAAAGAATAAATATTTTAATTATATAACAGAAGTATATTAACTTAATATAGGTTTGAGATAAATATCAATTGTGTGTGTGTGTGTGTGTGTGTGTTTAAATCCTCTTATTGGTGGAAATGTTTTTGATCATGCATTTTAAGCATAAATAAAATCCATTTATAAGTCTATAGTGCTATGCATTATTTAATGAGTACGTATATTTTATTTCAATTTCTAAGCTACTAACAAAATACACCATTAGAATACTAAAGGTTACATTTTAGAAAAACAAACTAAGGTGACTTTTGGCCTTTCGACAATGCTAGCAAATAAAACTAATCTGCATGCACTTCTGCCCAAACGCAGGAAACACTGTTATGTTCACTGGGGAGCTCATTTTCACTTTTTGTTTGTAGTTTATTATATTGACAGATTATGAAAACGACTAACTGTACTCTGGGTCATGAGGAAAACTTCATAAACATTCAAACAGAACACTTTTAGGCAGTGATAAATGCAGGACGTGTTTCCAATAGAATTCTCATCTCAGATTTAAAGATAAAAATATTGAGTCAGTTATAACCAAATTTCTCATGTGTGGATAAATCTCTTAACAAAGAATGTCTCCTTAAAAATGAATCTCCTCATAAAAAGAAAAGCAGTTACTTGAATCATACTTTTTACTGATCTCTATTCACATAAAACATACCCCCAATACAAAATTAATATCTTGGTTCATTCTATAAGGAGCACATTTGGCCAAAGCATATTAAAATATCTGTAAGTAATCAGTCATAATACTAAAAACACATGGATATTGATATTTTTAAAAAGTGTAAGAGCCTCAATTATACTAAAACACAAAATCAAATGCTAAGAATTTTGTAAATATTTATTAAATGTTAATTAAAATGGCACCATGTTAAAAATAATTATTAAGACTTCAAATGGAAAAGTAAAATTCTACACCAGATTTGGAGGTTTAGGAAAGATATAAAAAAGAAAGAAAATGTTGGTAGAGCTATTTTACCTCCTCCATTTCTTCATTTCAATAATTATTGAATTTTTATATTTGGGGAAAATTTCCACAATGTCAAAATGTATGCTTTTATAGAAAAACCAAAGAAACTCAGGAAATACAAATAACAGGAATTTTAGCTTATGAAATATAAACCTGGCCAAGTATTATTTGATTTAGAATATTAAAATAAGTGAAACAATTATATCTGTTTTGTATTTAACTTTCAAGTAAGTCTTAGACAAAAATGCACTCATTAAAAAAACTGAGAAATGTATGTCTCCATATATGGTGTGTGTTTTTCATTTTAAACTCAGAAGAAACCGATTCAGTGTTTCATAGTATTTTAGATTGTAAGGTAAAAAATAAGCAGTAATTAATATTTTTATAACCATTATTTTTCACTTTACATTTCAGACTAATTTTGTGCAACCATAGAAAAGATGATTCATGGAAGTATTCAACATTTTGGGGAAGCAGACATAAAAAACGTGGACATATAATTTGGTGATAAATCAAGTCTTAAAGAGTAGACACAGATTAATGTGTAACGTCATGCTAATAAAGATCTGTTCTAAAAACTCACTCTTTAGTAACTGTTATTTTGGTTCAAGACCCAAATGCAACCATCTGTTCTATTATTTATGGAACTTGAAACCAAGCCTAAATCTTTATTCCGAGAATCTGCCCACTGTTTTGGGTTATCGGGCGTCAGATGATCACCTATTTTCACCCTCCAAGTTATCTTCAGCTTTAACTTCTTACTGTTTTCTTGGCTAGTGTTTTATAGGCATTCAGAATGGCAACAAAACAAATGACATCAGCTTATCTCCTGCTTAGAGCTTAGACAAAACTTAAACGTTACGCTGAAGAACGAATTCGAGAAATCCATGCTGTTGTGGAGTTAATGGACTTTCCTAAAATGCGTCATTCTTTACAAGGCCTTGGAGCACTGCTTCTGGATAAAGAGCAAAGACCTGACGCTGGAGTAACAGAGCAGCAGCTCATTTTGAAAGCAAGGCGAAGACTCCATAGTGACTTGGAGCAGCTTCCCTGACACACATGTAATACTGCAGCATACACACATGTAATACTGCAGAATACATACATGTAATACTGCAGCATACACACATGTAATACTGCAGAAGCAACGACGCTTCGTTGAGCGCACATACATCTCCCAGTTAAGAAACTGGTATCCTCGCTTTAGAGGAAACCGATTGATTTTAAATGTCCTAAAAACACACATGTAGATGTGAGGTATGTGCACGTATTTTATATGCAAAGATACATGAACTTACATTCATGTCCATACGTGTGTATATAAAATGTGGACTGTTGGTGAAATAGTGTTTATGGTGAGCAGTATTCCTGCAGCTAAATCGTCTACAAATTGAATGCTCAAGAACCAACCACAGCATCCATTCTCACAATGTCAAAGTCATGAGAAATCTTCCTGAGGAGCGAGCCATGAGCTTCTGAAGGCATCCCGGCCCCAGGCAGGTGAGGGGCTGGCCAGCACCCCAGGGAGTCCCCAGGAGCTGCTTACTTATCTGCAATCTGGCCCTTTTCCTTCCAAGCTTTAATTCTTGAACTCCCTTCAAAGGTCACTCTGACACTCCCCGCTCACATGTACAAGGAAAAACACCTTTTCCCAAAGGACGAGCGCGGACTGAAACCTGAAAGTGCAGGCTCTTCCCGTCGCAGGTCTTTCCTTTTCTTCCTCTTTCTGCCCCTTCCTTCCCCCGGCGTCCGGGCGGCACCCAGGGCGCGTTAGCTGTCGGAGAACTTGCCAGCCTTCCGGGACGGCTCGTAGGGCACGCGGAGGATGCTGGGCGTCTCCTCCATGACCCGCACCAGGAGGTTGTCGATGTAGTCCTCCAGCTCCCGGATGTGCGTGTCCTTCCGGCGCAGGAGCTCCTTGTGCTTCACCAGCTCCTGCAGGACCTCCTCGTAGGTCAGGCTGCGGTACCCCGCGGTGGCATCGAAAGGGTTGCTGTCCTGGAACAGGAGAGAGCCGGCACCTTAGTTCTCAGGAACAAAAGCACGATGCTTCGGTTTTCCTCTGGCCCTGGCTAGAACCGACGTGACAGTCCAAGAACGGCCAGCCAGCTCTGAGGCCAGCACTGGGTCAGAGGCATCAAAACCTTATTCTAATTCTAAATTCTACAACCATTGTTTACCGTGTGGACAAGGTCCTAATAGAAGAGACAGACATACAACTTAAGACTAAGATAAAATGTTCTGTAATAAATATAACGGAAATAGGTAAAAACTGAAATATCTAAGAATTAACTTGGAGGAACTATAGGAAGCTGTTGAAAACTACACATTTGGACATTAGTTTAATCCTCATCAAATTGCTCCGGCTGAACTGTAGTTTAATGCTATGGCTTTCACCTTATTGAATTTGGGTACAACAGCAGCAAGACCAAATCTGCTTCTTGCTATGAAAGGAAGGCATTCGGAATTAAATCTTCTAAGATGCTCCTATGGGAGTAACTTCTGATTTAGAGGCAAACTAAATAACTAGTTCATTTCTATCTCATAGTATTATAGCAATGCCTATATACCTTATTTCATTTCCCTTTGTGCCTTGTTATCAGGAAACTCAGAGTTCAACTATGATCACATTAATATTTAGTATCAGTGCATCTGCATTCTCTTCCATTTCATTATTGATTTACTTGGTGAAAGTTATTCCATTAATAAAAATTCTTTTTTACATTAATGTATAAATATAAAAAAGAAAGAAAAAAGCATTTTAATATTAAAAATATATATTTCTCAGGAATTTAATAAAATACGTTGTCACCTATTTATAGTGGATAGTAATTATGTTTTTCATTATGTAAAATATAATTCCCAAACATAAATTAGTATTTTTATGTCTTTTTATACATAGCTCTATCACTAGACTCAACAAATTAAAATGGTTTTCATCACTTTCATTCAAAACATTTCCATTTGGCTTTAAGAAAAAAAAAAATACTGGGGAAATTGGTCTTGCTCTTTCAGACCACAGAATATAAGCTATTCAGTGGGAAGCATAGAATGGGGACCATTGAGTGCAGAAAGGTTTTTTCCTTTTTTAATAGACATTAAATTTGTCTTTGCTCATTTTCAGGATCCGCTTTAACTTGCTATGTGTCTAGAAGTTCTCATGAGTAAAGCCAAAGTGTAATTTTTCCCCCTCTTCCCACAGGCACCAAGACTGCCAACACCAAAAACCAAGCTGAGTACAGGCATCGATTTGATGGGGATGTTATCCAACCACGCTTTCTCCTCCGGGATAACAACACAAGTCCAGGCAGGAGAAACTCTTCCAGCCCCTCAGGATCTCGGGTTCTGGGGAGAAGATCAGCTTGCACCAGGTGGAAATGCAAACCGTGCATCTCAAGCAGCGGCTCTTTGTTCCAGGGAGGAAGCAAGGCTGGAGGCATGGTCAAACAGGCCATCAGTGCAGAAGGCGGGTAAGTAAGGTGCAGGACGGGGAGCTGAGAGGCTGAAATGGCAGGTTCCCAACAGACCATCGAGGATGATCAGTGCTGTCAGTAAGGACTTGTAGGTTTACTGCTGAGGGAGCTAGGACGCCTTTGAAGGTTTCCGTAGGCAAGAAAAATATGATGCAAGTCATGTGGCGAGGACAATGAAGATGGCGGCAGTGGGGAAAACCACTTGGAGGGGCTGAGCTTAGTGATAAAGTATTGAAATATCACAGACGAGATACCGATGAGGGCCTCCACCAGATCAACAGAACGAGTAGGGAGGCTGCCCAGGGGAAGTGAGTTTAAGTTCTGTAAGATATATTTAAAGCAGCCGATTTTGTTTTAACATTAGAAACTGGGAAGATACAACTTCATGCATTATGTTACATACTAGCTTTGTCTCTCAAAACATTTCATAACGTTACTCTGCAACAGTTAAAGGACAATTCTGTTAATCTATTTTTATTCTCTGCTCTCTCAGGTGAATTAATCTTTTTTAAGATTAAGTCTCAATGCACACATCTCTCATGTATTGAATAGTTTATTTAATTGGTCATGAGTAGAGATATAAAACATTATTATAATTTCCTAGCCACATTCTTATTAAATAATTATTATATTAAGCAGGTTTCTATAGGAAAGATACACTGGAGAGGTAAGTATATATCTTTTTAATTTATTAAAAATAAGCTAAAATTCCTCACTTCAGCCTGAATAATTTTGCACAAATGAGACAGAGACCAATCTAGCTCTCACTTTCCTTACTTGACAAATGAGATGTTCTCCAAGGTCCCTTTTAACTCTAAAATGTTCTGGTTTACATAGTGGTATTTCTGAACTGCATTTTTAAAAAGTAATACCACCCAACTAATGTGATTTCATCTTTCTAATAAAATATTTACTGGAAAATAGGGATTCTGGTGAGAACTGCAGGAATTCATGAAATTAAGCTAAATGGGATTCATTACTGATTGGTTGACTCTTACATTTTTCTTAATTTAACTTAAGAATCACATGTTTGAGTCTCTCTAATCTTAATCAAATTATACTGACTTCTACAAACTAAGCAATGAACATAGTTAGAAAATCACTTATATTGTTACATTGAGCACTATACCAGTAATACCAGATAATATAGCTAAATTTTTAAAATATTTCTCTAAAACGATGATGAAAAATGTTAAAATATTCTTATTTTGACATAGTCTAGATTTTATTCCATGACATAAATCTATCTAACAATTCAGTCTCAAAATAATGAGTTATTATCCTGGAATAGTATCACACTATACAGTCATAATCTAAAATATACAGATCCATTACTCATTTCGTTCCCCTACAGCCTTCTAATACTGTGCACAGGCAGGCTTCCTGGAGATAACTTCTGACCTTTTCCATAATTTCCCGTTTGTCCTTTTATGTGAAAACGTTACCCCAAATTTCTGCCTCAGGTTTTTAGGCAGAAAAACATCTTAGAAACATATGTTCTACAAACTATATTCTGAAAAAGAATATAAAATAACTTAAAAGTTTTATGCTTAGTTCCAGATTTTATCCCATATTTGAAAAGCATGTAAATATTTTAATTTTAGGCGTAAGATTCTTAAATTGATACACTCAATAAATATGCATCCTTGTTTGTTGATTTAATTCCAACAAAGTAATAACAATTCATATTAATTCATATGTACAATAGAAAATTAAAATAAGGAAAAAATTATTTTGCTTAAAGTGGAAAACTCTCAGGATTAAATAAATTATTGGTATAGACTCAAATAACCTACACAGGACTCCTAAGTACTCAACATTATTTCCTCCAGCAATCCATATAGACAGCACATATGTTTTTAAGATGTCTTCTTATATTGAAATGTAAATTTTTCTTCCTTCTTCCCCTTTCACGACCAATTCTTTTTCATTCACACCCAACCACTATTAAAAATTTCCATATGCAGATATAAGAAATTAGGGGTTGGGTGAGAGAATAGAATTATCACATGAAGTTTCCTAATCGAAATCTTAAATAGCATAGTTGTGCAAAAGACTTTGAGAATCACTAGTGATCTATTTTTGCTTTACCCAGTCCAGCCTTTTAAACTGGGAAATGTATATATATTTTTTACAATACTTAAAATTTGAACAAAAGCAAATTACCAGGACTCAAAATAAACTGCAGATTTAAAGAAAGGTTGTCCTGGTAACCAAATATTGGTGGGGCACTAACTGACATCCAAGGCAACTGGAGGGGAGAGAGAGAGATAAGAGGAAGGCTTGGCATTCTCTGATCATCTCATTATTGTTCTAATGAGGAACTTTGCTCTGGGAATATCATCTCAGCTACTTTCACATCTTTTGTCCTCCTCCCTTCATCTCCCTTTCAGCTCTTAATTAGGATTTAAAGAGCTCACGCTGCCCTTTCAACTGGCTACTGCTCCTGTTTGAACACTGTGCTTTCACAGACAGGTGTTGGCACTAGCATATAAGACATACAAACTTAATTACAAAATACTATGTCCAGAAGGGGGAAAAATAACGTGGTGGATGGCTATTATCGGAGAACTTAATGTAAATTACTTCAAACATCTTCTAATCTTCAACATAAAAATTGTTCAAATACTTTTCATCAAAAAAGCGATCAGTCTGAGGATGGGTTCCTTCTCCTAATTGTATCTTGCAGTAAATTAACAACACCTAAGTAATCCTTTAACTGTCCTTCAGAATAGTTAGTATTCCAGAGAAAAATAATCACACATCAAGGATTCTTTTATCACTTTTAAATCCTTTAACTAAAACAATTTTCACATTTTATTCCTTAAAGTATTCTAAGGATGCTTTTACAGCAATAAATTACAAGATTTGGAGAAATACATTTACAAGCACAGAGAAATTGTAATTAAGGTTACTTAATAAACAATAGCTACACGTGAAATCGATTTTTTGATGTTTGCATTTTGCTCGAGATTAAGTAACTTGCCTGCTAGAATTCATTTTACTATTTGATCAAAGGCTCACTTCAAATATTCTGACATTTCTCGCCAGACTGCATCTTATAAAGACTGGAGTATTTATGAAGCATAAAAACTTACAAATCATTTACATAAAATGGCAAGAACACAGCACAAAGCTTCTATAATGTTTTCTATGATTTTAAAGAAATAACTACACTTAGAATGGTTTGTACACTACCATAGCTATTTCTGGGCATAGATTATCATAGAAAATTGTGATATGTTATTGCTTTAAAAAATTCTTCTTATACATCTGGATCACACACATTAAGGGCAGATGGTTCAAAGAGCAACCACCAGCCTCTTGGAGAAAAGGCTCCGCTTCTGTTATTCAATGAGAACTTAGTTTTCTACCACGCACACATGCCCGCATTTTGGTACAGTAACCTCTTCCCTAGGTTTAATATATTTAGATTTGACTGAAGATGCAATGGGACTCTGAACAGAGACCCAAAACTGGATTTCAAATAACCAAGCATGAAGTTAAGACACCTGAATATCTTTGCCGAGCATGTGAGCTGACTCAGCTGGTGGCTACCCCGTGCCTGCTAGTATGGATGGTTTTGTTCCCTCTGGGAAGGTTAGTGTCTTAACGGTTCTTGCAAAATGCACTCCTGGCTAACGGCACTGCCCGCCAGGATGCAAGATTGCTGAACGTTAATAAGCGGTATTATTCTTTCTTCAATATTTGTCCCAACAACAAATCGTTTTCTCCACATGCTCGTATTTCCTAACAATAACGTTGACCTTGCCATACAGCTTTGATATTAATTTTAAAAGTCTGCAAACAAAATATGTATCTTCTAAGCAGGCTTCAATTACAATTATGTTTATCTGAGGTTCCATTAATTGTATAAAAGTCACACCTATCATATATTAAAAATAAAGACTTGGTTTTGCTTTTCTTCTTTCTCCCCAAATTATCACGCTAAGCTATCATCGGCAGGTAACAGGGATTCGAGGGGACGGGAGCCTTTCTGGAAATGTGTGGCCGGCAGACGGCTGGCTGTGGCTTGCTTTCTGCCTCTCTAACCCCCTCTGCGACTTACCGGGATTTTCCTGAGGTCTTCACCGCTTGTCGGATTCACATGAAAACTGAGCAATAAAAGACAAAACAGAAATGTTAAAAATGTATCATAGTCCATGTGGGAGGAAACATAAAAACAGGACATTTTTAACCAACATTTCAGTAACAGTTTCTCCTAAATCACTCAGATGAGTGAAATTTAATCCAGGATGTAGAAGAAAACCAGTATTTAAACAACATCCAAAAGCAGCTACAATTTTAAGCTCTGAAGGAAAACCCTTCAGTCATTATCAGAACTGAAAAACTTCACCTCCAAATATGCAGTTTCTAAACATCTTTAAACATGAGCATTTTACCCAGTGAGATATTTTATAAAACTAAATTTCATAGCGTTATTATTCATTTTACATTCACACTCACCTTAGTCCTCCTGATATAGAATGATGGAGAATTAAATAAATTTAGAACGGAAAGATTATAGCATAGACTAGACAAAGCAAACTTGGCAAAAAAAAAAAAATCTATAGCTATTAAAGCAATTATCTTTTAAATTTTTAAATATCAGGCTATCACTAGAATACATTCAGAGTGCTAGGAACCATTTCTATCGTGAATGTGATGTCTAAGGAGCTGATCTTCAAAATTCAAATACCCAATGGACTCACAAAAAAAAAAAAGTTTCTTCTGTACAGAGGGTAAGAAAATACCCGGCTCAGTGCTATCATCACTTTCTTCTCTGCAACATGTCCATTAGAAAGAGCACTGCAGCCAAAAAGAAGCCAAACTTCAAAGCCATCTGATGAGTCAATATTTCATCATTGCTATTCAAGTTTAATTTTTACCCGGCACTTAAGAGTATTAGCCTCGCTAACCACTACAAAGCGCGACTGTCCGAGGATCCTTTTTGTACCTCCCCCAAAAGACTTAACAGTAAAATATATTTTTCACGTTATCTGTGCTTTATCAGCCAAATCGTTGGGATCCTTTGAAAAATTCACTTTTGAAACTTTGGACTGTGTGCACGCAGTCTGGACACTAGATGACACCACCGGAAGAGAATCTGTTATTACAGGTACGCATCCCCCGCTGGAAAGCTGCAGAGCAGACAGCATGGACAGCCATCTCAGAGGAATCCCTCAAGGCCAAGGTTTCCCTGTTATGACTACGGTCTGTATGCTCGCTTCCAGACCTGGGGCTGGCCTTCTCGAGCTGGACTCCTGTGGGTAAAGGGAGCATTTCAGGAGCGCTGGGTGATTTGGTGGAAAGACTGGAATATGTTTTAAATATCTCCGATGCACATGTACAGGCAGAGGCGGCTGACTCATTTCCTGTATCTCCTCACTTTCACTGTGTCCTATATGGTCCCAGGCTACGCCAGGGTACCGGCAAAGTCTCAGAAGAAAACAACAACAAAACCCAGACAGACATTGTCATGGAGAACTCCCCCGCCCAGGGGGCCATGGTAGCAGCTGCTAACACATGGGGTTCCCATCCTCTCGGATTCTCCACCCAATGTGGTCAACGTCAGGGCTCAGTGGGACGAAGCTCTCCTTTCGCCATTCACTCACGGCGGGCTGTCTTCCAACAGCCTCTCTCCCCGTCGGACTGACCATCTCTGGGACATAACACCCAGCTTTCACAGGACAGAGAAGTGGGTACAAGCAGAGAAGCGGCGGGGGGCCCTGGGACCAGGAGATGTGGATTCAAATCCTGCTTCTGCCCTGTAATTGCTGTGACCTTGAGCAAGTTTCTTCACTCTGATTGTCTAGGTCCCTCTCTCTGTAAAATGGAGATCTACCATGAGACCACTGCGAAGATTGATTTAGTTATTAACATGTCATACACTTAGCTCAGTGACTAGCAGACAGGACATGCCCAACATATTATTTTATTTAATGAATATTTACATAGCACTCGAACTGTGTCAGCTACTGTTCTAAGCACTTCCCCCAAATTAACTCGTTTAATCTGCACAACCCTTAAGGTAGGTTGTACACTCAGAGAAACTGAAGGACAGTTTCAAGTTCTCGCCAGTTTGTTTTTATATCAATATTTGTTCTACAAAATAAATCAAGAGTGGATGTTAAAGGAGAGATGCTAATGATTCCTTAAAACATATTTCAGTCTAATTTCAAAATTTAAAATTAGTTTACTTAAAAAATTGTTTAAATGTGGAAATACCAGAGTTCATTCAGAAAGTAGAAATCCTGGTGCTATATTTATTGTGATATAATGATCTTCATTTTTAAAATGAGGACACGAGCGCCACAAAGAGGTGTGGTGACTTGCATGTGGTCACAGCTGGCAATGGTGGGGTGTCTGGCTCTGGGGCCTGTCCTACCTGTCAGCCACAGCTCCGCCCTGCCCACAGTGAGCACGTTACACGGGGAAGCCCTGAACGTACTGGCCACGTGGACTGACCATTCTGGTCAGGTGCATCCAGCCCATGGACATCCAGCTGCCCCTGAGGGGGGCTGGGACAGCACCCTGCCAAGTGGCCTTTGCAGACCATGTACCGGGAAGAAGTGCCCTGTGGCAGCAATGAGTGGAGGAAGGCCTGTGTTAATGGAGTAGTGGGATTTTCAGTGGCATGAAGGATGGGGTTGGCAGGCCAGAGAGGGGGGGACTCTCAAAACAGAGGGCACAGCCTGGGGCTGCTGGGAAGAACATCAAAGAGACTGGAACACAAGGCAGCAGGGGAGGGGGGGGAGCCATTGAAGGGTTTGACACAAAGATGAGGCTCTTAGCCCTGATCCATCGGGCAACAGACAATGTTTCGTACTTTCAGTCTTCTTTGGTAAATGTTATTTAAACATTTCACGGGCAGCAGCATTATCCATCCCTTGAAGAATAAACAACATTGAGACTGTATAAATTGCATTATGCCTCTTGAAGAAATCAGTCAACTAAGAAATAGAAATACTGGTAATCGATTTATCGGGATAAGGGTTTTTAAGAAATAGACATGTAGGACAAAGATTTTCTCAAAATCACAAAACGTCCGATGACTGTGGCCTCTGGAACTAAAGGGAAACTCAGTGACAGCCCGGAGCACGTCTGAGGATTATTAGATCCAACTGAACAGGCCGCCGCGGGAAGGGAAGAGCATGCCGGGTGCAGCGAGCCCCGCTCTCTCCCATCCTACCTGCCTGTAACCGGAGCCTCTGCCCTCAGCATCCCCCATGCGGGCCTGAGCTCAGGGCCACTGTGTGGGGCATTGTCTCACGTCTAAAGGCAGAACCGGTCCCTTGTGGCCGGCTTTGTAGTCACACACTGATGTGTCACACACATGACGGACTAGGCATTCACGCTGCTTTTTTTGATCCTTCCTTCAGGGGAAAAAAGAGTTAACGGAACTGGATTGAATTAGCTTGGTGAAAAATAAAATCTCTATTTACTGAAGTGTGGCACCAATTTGTGATCTCTCTCCCTTTGGAATGCTGTCCTCATGTCACACGAGATACTGAATAATACAGCCTGACTGCTCAACTGAGCTGCTGACAGGTTAAGGAACATGGTGTTCTTAATCAGGTAGAAAATGAACTTGGACATGCTCACACCGAGAGAAGTTCAGGCAAAGTTAAACTTCACAATTAAGAGGAATTGTTTTAGGAATCAGAGCTCAAGGAGTTTGAGGGTAGGAGGGAATTTTAAAGTAACTATTCAGCTGATACAGATATTTTAAATTCATATTTTAAAAAGATTTTTAAACTTAACATTCTCAAGTTTTTAAGTAAAAACTTATTTTTCACTCTGTGATAATTCCAAATTTAAATGATTTTGAAATTAACAGTACTGGCATACATCTTAAGGAATCATTAGTATCTCTCCTATAACATCTATTGATTTATTTTGCAGAATAAGTACTGAGGAAAGACATAAGTAAACGGGTGAGAATTTGAAACTGTCCTTCGATTTTCACTATGGGCTAGTTTCCTACCGACGGGTCAGGAAAGCAAACCGAGCTCAAAAGCGGTGAGACCGGCCACTGCAGAAAGCACGGCCGCATGTGGCAACGATCAGTCTTTCTTTGTCGCCTCTTTTCTCCTCTAAAAACATAAATACAAATACCATCATTTGGAGCAAGGATTCCTAAGGCAGGGAAGGGACTAATGAGAGTAAAAGGAGTATGAAGTGCATGTCAAGATAAAAATAAAAACCCACAGAAGAACAAAGGCCTAATGAAACAGAGTCAGTCTTGTTAGAATAAGACAGTGCAGACTGTGCAGGTCCCGGCTGGAGGAGTGGAAGTCCTCAATGAGCAGGCGCAGTAAGGACCCCGGGACCTCTCTGGAAGGCATTTCAGAACAAGTATTGTTACATCTTCCAGAATGCCTCTTTCTAGGCCCCATAAAGGCAGGTGCATTTTGGTCTACAAACTTGATCCATTGTGTATTTAATAAGGGGATTCGAGTTATTTGAAAACTCCAGGAGGCGTCCCACCTGGCCGGGGGACGCTGAGGGGAAGGAGCGGAGGACCGTTAAGCACTAGTCGTTCCTTGTTGTGTATGGGGTAAGTATAACTTGAAACCATCACAGAGGAACTCCTGACATTAATTACGTTCAAAGGGGAGTATCCCATTGATCTTCCTGTTTCACTCAGAGAGTGGGCTCTGGAGACCCCAGGCTTCACTCTGGTGACAAATGTAGTGGGGGGAGGGGTGTAAACAGAACTGGAATAGGACATAACAGCACCTTTAATGAGTCTGAAAAGAGGAAAAGGAAAACGCCCCACTGACACTGAAGCAAGGGAGAATAAAAAAGACACTCGGCCCAAGGACAACCGGTATTTATTGGACTTTTAACTGTGGTACCTGCCAGGTGTCTTCCTGAGCACTTCATATTTTAATGTTAACTCCATCCCAGGAGGTGTTACTTTTTACTTCCATTTACGTAAGACCAAACAGGCACCGAAAAGTTAAGAAGCTTACTCCAGATAACACAGTTATTAAGTTTTCAAAGGAACGGAAATCAATAGGCTTTATAATATACCAGAGGCCTGGTGCATCAATTCATGCACAGGTGTGGTCTCTCAACCTGGCTGGTGATGGGGGCCAATCAGGGCTGG